GGTTTTATATCTGGGATGTCTCAGTCTGCCTCAGAAGGAGCTGTCCATGGTTTCCACTGTGGAATGCAGTGGATGGGAGTTTTATTTATTTATTTTTTTAATGGTGGTCATCTTGCCCACCATCCTCCTTAACAAACACAAACAGATGTAGCCATATCAACCCAGAGCTGGCTAATCTCCACTGGTTACCCGTGACCTTTAGGGTGTGTTTCAAGATCCTGCTCTTTGTATTCAAAGCATTGAATGGACTTGCACCACCCTATCTGTGCGACCTGCTCACGCTCTATGTGCTGGTGAGCTCGCTGAGGTCAGGTGATCACCTGTTGCTTTGCACTCCAAAAATGAACTATAAAGTTAAGGGGGAGCGGGCCTTTGTGCATGCTGCTCCCATCCTTTGGAATGCACTACCCATTACAATCAGACAGTCACCATCCATTGCTGTCTTCAAGTCTTCAGCACCTCCAAATCTGAGACCATGGTTCTCGACCGGAAAAGGGTGGCTTGCCACCTCCGGGTCGGGGGAGAGGTCCTACCTCAAGTGGAGGAGTTTAAGTATCTCGGGGTCTTGTTCACGAGTGAGGGTAGGAGGGATCGGGAGATCGACAGGCGGATTGGTTCGGCGTCTGCAGTGATGCGGACGCTGAGCCGATCTGTCGTGGGGAAGAGGGAGCTGAGCCAGAAAGCCAGGCTCTCGATTTACCGGTCGATCTACGTCCCAATCCTCACTTATGGTCATGAGCTTTGGGTAATGACCGATAGAACGAGATTGCGGATACAAGCGGCCGAAATGAGTTTCCTCCGTAGGGTGGCCGGGCTCAGCCTTAGAGATAGGGTGAGGAGCTCGGACATTCGGGAGGGACTCGGAGTAGAACCGCTGCTCCTCCGGATCGAAAGGAGCCAGTTGAGGTGGTTTGGGCATCTGGTCAGGATGCCTCCTGGACGCCTCCCCGGGAAGATGTTTCGGGCATGTCCTGCCGGCAGAAGGCTCCCGGGGCGACCCAGGACACGTTGGAGAGGTTACATCTCCAATCTGGTCCGGGAACGCCTTGGGGTCCTGCCGGAGGAGCTGGTGGACAAGGCCGGGGAGAGGACGGCCTGGAGCTCCCTAATTGGGATGCTGCCCCCGCGACCCGGACCCGGATAAGCGGAGGAAGACGAAGACGAAGACGAAGTCACACTTAAAGACCCACTTTTATGATTTGGCTTTTGGACACCAACTTCTTTTAGTGTTTGTTTTATTTACTTTCATTTTTATCTCTAGTTATTGATTGTTTATCTATTTTCATGATTTTAACTTTTAATGTATTGTACCGGTCATTTGTGTTTCTTTTTGATTGTATACTTTTGGACCGTTGCCTTGTGCGGTGCTTTGGGCAGCTGCCATGGTGTGTTGAAATTTCACTATAGAAATAAGATGGTATGATATGGTAGACGACGTTTACAATTTTCAAGATTGAATTTAATAGGAAAACTGAGGCCAGAAGCTTAAAAGACACATCAGTGTTTCCATGAGATCTTAGCCATTTTTCAGTATGCATACTCATCTTTACTTGTGTACTCGTGTCCTTGTGAAGCTCATCAACGATGGCCCGAGTACTGTTCCAGTACATCATATTACATGGCAAGTTCACTCAAAGTTCCCAGATGTGTTCTTGCTCCACTCATTGTAACAAGGAAGCATCAGTGCATCCTTCTGCAGACTGGGACAGGACATTTTCCGATAATGCATTGTGTTCCAAACTGTTATACTTCAAACATCAGAGGGGAAAGCTCATTATGTCAGAAATATAAAGTTGTCCGTTATTGTAAATAACTGTGTAACCTGTAAAATTAGCTCTGTGTGTTTATTTTTCAGACTCTTTACAATCCCTCAAAATACTAATTAGCTAACCCACTACCAAAGTAAAAGCAGCGTTGCCTTAAAGAGCAAGTCACCCCCTACCAGATTCTTACTCAACTCCCACTTCCTGTTTGAAAAATGCAACAAATGCTGTTGCCGAGAGGGCGGAGCCGCTAACAAATACACACAGACTCACAACGACATTGTCACATCATATGGTACCAGCTAATGTTCTAGGGTACCTCTTAGCCAATAGCGATGGCAGATATAAATTCAAATGCAGTGCAGGGTTTTTACCTGACAACGGAACAACACTGACAGTTTTAGGCAGAAAATTTAAATTTGAACCAAAATGCACTCAAGTGCTAAACTATTGACTACATGTGTCTGCAGCACAATTAGAGACACATTTATATAGTTTATCAGAAAAAATAGTTGATTTGGGGGCGACTTGCTCTTTAAATAGCTCTGTTTATATAAAAAATAAACTATTTTCTTAATTTAACTGCAGGAAGCTGGTATTTTATTCCTTTGATTAAAGAAGACCAAAATTTATACAAATACCACTGTTATTTTTGTCAGTTAAGGGACAAACTAGACTTTTATTTTTGTCAGGTCATTTTTTAGCCATGACGCAACAGAGTACAGTTCTGTTCCAAATGTCGTCCTCATCCTCCAATACTTGGTAGAAGGGACTTTCTGGTGTACCAGCCAAGATCATTCTTGTCAAGTACACAAGAACATATTAGCATCCTTGGGTATTGAAAAACTGCCCTTTTTCAATCAGAATGAAGAAAATAAAAACTGCTGCCACCTATAGGAGTCTGATTTTCAATTGCATCTCACAAAAGAAATACAGTAAATGTTAATAATTATCAACAAAAGATCCATATACTGCTTTTAAATAACTATTCAGTATCATAAGATTAAATATCAATACTTCGGTGTATCAGTATTTTCTGCCATCCCTAGTGTTTACTAAAATTTATTTAATTTAAATTCTTCCAAGTTTTCGGAGTTTTAGCAGTTTGGACATTTGTTACCACAATCCCTTTCATCTTTTTTTGTTTGTTTTTGCTTCTTTGTTCTTGTTTTGATCCTCTTTGGCCTTCACTTTTACATCGTTTGTTGTGCTCTCACTGGCTTAGTTTCTTACTTAAATATCTGTGGTAGATGCGAGGAGATATGTGTGTTTTGATATGTTTGAGCTACCAGACTTTCCAAAAATGCATAAACATTTAACTCACCAAAACCAATTTCAGTGACTGCTCAAGCTCTTGAGAAGCATTTCTTTTATCTGATAAACCACAGACTACATGGGGATAAAGCTGTGTGTCATATTCTCGTAACAAGCAGCCGCTAGAAATGCAGCTGGAAAAACCTAACGGCAACAAAAGTAGTCTAACTGCAATTAAAATGTACACAGCTATCTGTTTTGCTTGAGCCCCCGATATAAAATTTGACTCATGTGAAACTTAATTATTTATTGACAGCTTGGCTTTGATGACAAATGATAAACTTCACACTCCTAATGAAGCGTGGAATTACATTACCTGATGAGGCAAGAAATTGCATGTTTAGAATGCAAATACCCAATTTACTTCACGAAGTTGTGGAGCGAAATCTAATATTATGCTGCGAGATTATCAGAGCTTGTTGTCTAAATGTGATATACCAATAACATATCAAGATTAAAGCATTAAAGCTGACAATGGAATTAAGAGAGAACTGTAAAACTATATTGCACATGACAGGTGATAGACAACGGGGCTAACAAGGGAGATGTGACTTAAAATTTTCTCAATTAAATCGTTAAAATGACACCCATATTGTGCTAAAATTAAGAAATAAAGCAAGTAGATTTATTTACTCCCATGTTTCTCTTTTCACCCCAAGACAGTTTTTTTATATCTTTGCTATGTTATTCAGTGTTTTCTTCATTATACGTAGTTTATTAGGAGCTTGTTTTTACCTTAGCTAACATCGAAACATGTTAAGTTTATTTTTGTTCAGACCAAAAAAATGTTTTGTTTTTTACTGTAGCTGTATATTTATTAATACAAGTTATTTTTGGCTGCATTAATAAGCATTGACTATTCAAATTAAATGGTGTGAGCTATTTTATGATATGAAATCATTATTTATGAAATATAAAATCAAACAATACACTGAAACTATATTAGATTTGCGCTTTTTCCATTGTGAGGTCACTCCGTTGACTTTCCCAGAAAATGTCAAACCAGCACAATGATTTCAGCCTTTTACTATAAGTAGAGTGGCTCTCGGGGGGTTAAGCTGTTATTCCTACTCAGCAAACAAGTGCATGTTGTTTCTATCTAAACAAACCATTTAAATTCTCCCCTTAAGTATTCCTGCTGTCTTCAATGGTCATGTTTGATAAGTGTTTCTTGGCAATAAATAAATAAATAAACTAAATAAATATACATTCTTTGCTATGAGGAAGCAAAAGATCAAATTCTGCCATTTGCTCAGGGGCACTCCACATGTTGCTAGGAGATAAGGGCCAACAAATTCAAATTTTTTCATTGGTTTAATCCTGGTTTGGGCTAATCTCTGCCCTTGCTGGGCTCAGCCTTGGGAAGCAAGGAAGAGCGACTCGTTTAAAAAAATGTAGGCCACTGCAGAAACAAGAGCAAATCAAATGGATTTCAAAGGTAGCCTGGGGAAAACACATCCCTGTGATGTTTACAATTATTGTCCAACAAACAACAACACTTTGGATGATCGGGTTTTACATGCTGGGTTAAAAAAGAGTAATAAAAGTTAAGACAGTTGTATAAAAATATTATAATGTCTCGTTAATTTGGCCACTGAGCTACAGAGCTAACTCCTGCAACAGCATGAGCTAGCTAACTGAAAGAGTCATGTGTGTATTTAGCTAAATGCTTTTGATAGAGGGTCTTATCAGTCACAACTAAACATTACAAGTAAATAGCAAAGCAAAACAAAACACTTTAAAGCTCGGCTGTAATGACAGGTAGCGTTCCCTCTCGACGGTCGTTGCCATGACAACAAAATATGGAAGTTCCACAAACGCTCCCTTCTCAGTGGGACACAAACTAAAAGGCGGACTCTGAAATGATTCAATGTAGCTTCTGTGGAAGATTACGGCTGTTAAGGTTTAACAAAAGTTCCTTACCTCCAAGAAGTTATTTTCATTCTACAGGCTGCCCCTCAGACAAAAAGCAGACGCTTTCTCAGAGGGTAAGTAAGGTAAGCGAATTGGGACAAACCTCAGATGAATTAAAAGCGCTATTCCACGGCCGCGCGAGTCGGAGCGCGTGCCAACAACATGACGTCTGAACACCACGGGACTTGAATCGGATTTCAGGGCATTTCTGTCGCTCCTTTTGCCGGCCTGCATTTATCTTGATGCTTGTCTCCATCTGGTGGAGAATCAAGGTTTTCCTAAAGTGGTGTTGATCTGTAGACATTTTATTTAAGAGGATTATTTTTTTGAGTTACAAACTCAAAATAAATTCATTTTTCCATCAGAATTTGGATTTATGCACAATAAAACCAGAGTTTCTTACTAGATTACATTGTTTTAGAAGTCTGTTATTCAACAAGTGAATTTTTAAATATAGGAAATTAATAATACTAAGTAGCTTATAATTAATAATAATAATAATTGTTATTATTATTATTATTATTATTATTATTATTATTATTATTATTATTATCATTATCATTGGCTTCTTTCTTCACAGGAGGAAATAATCTCTTGATTTGGAGCATGCGCCCGCACAAATGGCACATCAGAACGACGGAAGTGTGGTATGTCATGATTTTGGGGTGATCACCCTGACGTCACCCCAATATCGTGATTTTTAGGGTCATCGCCACAATATCATGATTCTGAGGTGCTCAACCCAACATCACCCAAGTATCATTATTTTGGGTTTTTCACTAAACATCACCCAACTATCATTTGGCATCCAGGAAGGTCCCTTTTAAATTTTCTTCACAAATTTTCTTCTTCTTCTTATTATTATTATTATCAATGATCTGCACTCCAACTGTGAACTGTGATGCAAGGGGCAGTGGGCTTTTGTGTGTACTGCCCCATCCTCTAGAATGCATACCTATCACATGTCGACTGTCACTATCCATCGCTGTCTTCAAGTCATGATTGAGTTTGGCGTTTGGACAATGACTCCTTTTTATATTAGTGTTTCTCTTCTTTTAAATTGTTTTTAGGTTGTTTTAATCTGTATATATTGACTGTATTTCATTGTTTTAAACAATCCTTTTATGATTACTGCCTGTGCAGCGTTTTGGTCAGCTCACATGCTGTGTTTAAATGCGCTCTACAAATAAAATGGTATGGTATAATCTCAGCTACTCCATCAACTCAAGTTGCTAAAACTGTTTGGTGCACAGTTGAAGCAGCTGTCATAATGACATTTCATTTATTTTTAATACATTAAGATTCACAAAATCAACAGAGATTAGATCAGACTGTAGACATGAAGAATAAAACTATTTTGCAGGATTTTATGTGAGTAGTTATAAAATATTCTGAAATAAAACGGCTACAGCGTTTGGGTGGTGGGTAAACCGTGAAACTGTGGCCAGATGAACTAATCACGAAATTATCATGTTAAAGTAATAAAACTTGTTATTTTTTTCAGCTCTTGTTAACTTTAAGTTAATAAAACGAGATTTATTTAGATCAAAAGTGTTACAGCTAGTGATGCACCGATATGAAATTTTTGGGCCAATGTTAAGATCACTGTTAAGGCCGATAACTGATATTTGCCGATACCGATAAACTGACGTTAATGCTTCCAAAATTAGCAGATTTTGTATAGAATAAAAATTATTATAGCTGAATTTATGTTAATATGCATGCAACACACATTTATGCTTCTGAGATGATTACAATCACTGTGACATGACTAAACAATTACACATCACCCCCCTCACCCTCTGAAACAGGCAAACAAATGGAGACAAGATGGACATAATATTGGTTGTTAATATCGTCCCGTTTTTTTTTATCGGACCAATACCGATATGTTAAAAAATGACTAACATCGGCCGATACTGAAATTGATGTCGATATATTGTCCAGCCCTAGTTACAACTAACCAAAACAAAGTCTAAGAAAATCAAATCACTCGCTGTCTCATGGAGCTGGAGCTAAACTCCAGCAGTCACCAGGTAGGAGGCACGAGACACCCTGGACACATCCCACACTAACTCACACCTATAGGGATCATCTAATGAGCCCCCGCATGTTTTTAGTGGGGAGGAACTGGAGCTCCCGGAGAAAAATCAACACATTAAAATGTCTGGGTGTGGTCTATAAAACTATATTAATCTACTGTGGTTTTAAAATAGTTTATCAGGAAACGTTTAATAAACTTTATCTAGGAAGACCTAGAGAAACCTGATTAACGCTATTTCAGGTTCAGATGTTGTAAAGCTGTAGCTTCGTTTAAAAAATCAGGGGCATCTGTTTGCTGCATTCTTTTTTAAGCTACATCCTTATTAGTTTCCTCTAAGCCGCAGCGGACAACCTGTCCATGTTCCCCCGCTCCAAGTTTTCCCTCAACTACGTAAACTTTAGATCTGCCTTTGATCCTAACCTGGCCTTAACTCTGAAGGTGAGCAGTCTGTGTGAGTTCTCAGTCTTTTCGTCTGACTCAGTGATTTCTCTTTCTGCCGCTTTTTTCAAAGTCAGATTATTTAAAGAGCAAGTCACCCTCAAATCAACTATTTTTTCTGATAAACTATATAAATGTGTGTCTAATCGTGCTGCAGACAAGTGTAGTCAATAGTTTTGCACTTAGGTGCATTTTAGTTAAAATTTAGATTTTCTGCCTAAAACTGTCAGTGCTGTGCCGTTGTCAGGTAAAAACTCTGCACTGCATTTGAATTTAAATCTGCCATCGCTATTGGCTAAGAGGTTCCCTTGAACGATAGCTGGTACCATATGATGTCACAATGTCGTTGTGCCTGTGTGTGTGTGTGTGTGTGTGTGTGTGTGTGTGTGTGTGTGTGTGTGTGTGTGTGTGTGTGTGTGTGTGTGTTTTTTTGTGTGTGTGTAAATGGTCCCGCGGCCGCAACAGCATTTGTTGCATTTTTCAAACAGGAAGTGGGAGCAGAGGAATACTCCTATTATTTAGAAACGTACTTTTCTTCTTCTACAATTCTGGTAGGGGGTGACTTGCTCTTTAAAGCCTGCTTTTTTGTTTCTTCTGTTCTGGCTTCCACTGATAAACTGGTGCCAGATGTTATTTAATTCATATTTTTTTATCACTAAGCAACAATTTATAATTTTCTAAATTAAACATTCCATTCATTTCTTCGTCATTAAAGAGTAACTAAACCTCAAAATAACTTTTTTTGTTTGCTTATAAACTGTGTAATTGGGTCTTTATAAATGCAATCTTTCTGTTTCTGTGCATTTTTTGATTAATGTCTTAGTGCTGCCCCATATATATGTATATATATATATATATATATATATATATATATATATATATATATATATATATATATATATATATATATATATATATATAACTTATGAGATAATTTTAATAGGAAATTATTAAGCAATCTTAGGAAGCAGGCTGAGGTAGCAAACTCAAAGTGCAATATTAAAAGTGCAAAACGTTAAAAAATGTATAATCTTTCATTTAATTCCCATTTAAATTTTTCTGAATGAACTTTGACTCTTGCACATAGCATAGACATAGAAGAGTAGACGCCGCACCAACCATTACTGTCAGGCCACATTTGTGGGTTCTAGTTTTTATAAACTCTATGGTTAAGAGGAAGTTTTAGCTAGGCATTAGCTCCGGAAAAGCTCCATGGAGATCTGGAGCTAGAACGGCAAAAGAACGTGTTCATAAACCCATTCACACATGCCAGGACTTTTACGTTCGTCAGACAAAATACGAACGAGTTCAGTTCACGTTCACGAAAAAAACAAACAGATTCACGAACGATCGTTCAATGAACTCGTTCGGGCACAACACTGCTGCTACTCGTGCCAATCACAGGGAGTGTTAATGTTGCACTAGTTGTTGGTGCAACTGCTTGCACTACCACCGCCTGTTGAAGCAGAAGTTCTCTCATGTGGTTATTTCCTTCATCACAAGCTTTTAAAACCATCGGTCATCCTTTCTTTAATGGAGGTTTCAACAATCACAACATCCGTCCCACTCACACACAGCACAACTTCAATAACTCGCACAACTCTGAATTTCAGGATGTAAAATAAACAGACCCATGACCTGCGTGTCGTTCTCAGAAAAAACAGATATGCATTCATAGTGAAAGTTAAAGTATAATGTGAGATTAAAGAACGCGCAAGTCTGAGTTTAACAGGCCAGATGTCTGGAAGGTAACATTCATAAAATGAGAGACGTTGCTTTTGGCTCATGAAAATTATTTGAAAATATGAAAAAGTTGCATAGTATCCCTACAAAATAATTCCTATAATATTTAATTGTATATTGATTAAAAATTTCTGACATACAATTTTCATGAATTGCACATTTTTCCAAGTTTAGAATATGAAAGTGAAAATTGTTGCTTAAAACATTTTCATGTTGTTATTTTTTCTCCTGATGTGGAGTCTTCTGTAAATGGGCAGTCTGAACTTTAATTTTGGCATGAGATTCCACCACTAAACCCTGAAACAAAACACCCCCTTCACCTTTGAAACTGCTTTTAGAAGCTCTACAAGATTCAGCTTCCTGTCTCCCTACTGCTGACCTCAGGCAACAAGCAATATTTTTGACCCTCAGAAATAAACATCACATGAAAAGTAAGATGACAAGTCTGTGACCAATAAAATGAGAGTTCAAAGTAGATATCATCTTTTATTTGAGAGGTGCATGGTTTGTTTGTATGATTTGGTGAAGAGAATTATCTAATTTTTTGCCTCCAGAGTTGGAGAAATGATCTTGCGTGTTGTGAAGCGGCAGGAGAATTGCTCAGTCAGCCTTCTCAGTGATCACATGCTGACTGGGTGGGATGGTAAAAGAAAGGAAAGCATCAAAGCTCTCTGCACTGTTGCACTGAGAAAATACAAGGGTTAGGGCACTTATTCCATTACAGTCAGTAATGTGTAACTGAATACCACATGGGTGAATGCAGGAGGGGGTGTAAGATACCAGGATGCAAAGACCATAGCTCAGCATCAAAAACATCAACATCCTCCTTTGCTTTGCATCCAGCAGCATTTGCTTCCCACTGTTTCATTCTGAATATCAGAGGGTGCTTTTGTATGCAAGGAACTATATTAAAACTTTTTAAAGA